CGCGGGCCCCGTAACCTGCACGCCACCCGCCGCGACCTACCCTTCTCCACTTGCTCAGCTCGCAGCCCCTGGGGCAGGTCCCGGGCCCGGCCTGCCCGGCGGGGTGCTCGCACTGGCTGACACGCGGGTAGCAGGCACCTTCGTACTAGCGCAGGTTTTGCTTTTTCTGGACAGCGAAGGGCTGGCTGCTGACAGAGACAAGAGGCAAGGAAAGATCCTGTTTGCAGGGACTTTAAGAAGGAATCACAGAGGCATTTCCATTCATGTAGAAACCTTTCTTTTGGCCTTGTCAGACCTGATGCTGGAAGGCAAGCGGTAGGCAAGCCGTGGCATGGGTGCCAGCGCCTGGCGCACACAGGTGTTTTGCTTGGCAGGTGGACAACATGGAAGGGGTCGGGGCTGTGCAGCCACAACAAGGATTGGGCTGCCCCACTGCCCGCCCCGGCATGCCAACATCTTACAAGTCCAGGTTGCGGGTGTTTTTGGCAGACCACTGCTGTAAGCCCAGCAAATATTAATTGGCTAGTGTTGTTTGGCTTAGTGGAGCAGTCACAAGGTAAAGCGACTGCTCTGGCTGTGCTTCAGCTGTACAGCTGTGACTCGCCACTTGGCGAACAAGGACAGGACTAGGAGCAGAACCTGCTTGCTGCGCTGCTCCCGCCAGGCCGTGTGGGCCCACCACCTTGCCGGTGCAGCCAGACCAGAGAGACCTGGGGAAGCAGCTCTTGTCTGGCAGCAACTGACAGCCACTCCGCACTCCTAGGAAGCAGCAAGTTGCCTGGCTCCCTACACCTGTGGGGAGAATTGAGGGGGCGGATTCCCCGAGAGAGGGAGTGAGTGTGTGCCAGCCCCTCCAGTGGGGGAAGGACATGGAGGGCTTCTGGGGCAGCAGGAAGCTGCACAGCCAGCAGGGCTGAGGGGGCTGTGGCTTCAGAGTGAGAGGCAGGGGCAGGGCACAGGCATATCACTGCCCTCCTCACAATCATATCTACCTCCGACAAGTGTCCTCTTTTCGGAAACTGGAAATATGGTAACCTTAGATTCCCCCCAGGTTTGCTGCTCTCTGGGAGATGCAGGCTCCTTGCAGGGGTGGAGTGGATTTTCTACCTTACCTGCCCAGCAGGGCCTGCTCACAAGTTTTGGGGGCCCCCTGCAAGATATAGTTTTGGGGCTCCCTGACGTGAAGAAACTGGTGGCGGTGTTGGCAATGGGGGTGACGGGAGGTGGTGAGCAGCTAAAGAAGCTGGCGGCAGAGGGGGCCAAGAGGCCGAAGAAGCCGGTGGTGGCATCGGTGGTGGAGGGTGGGGGGGTGGCAGCAAGCGGCTGGATGCGAAGCTGGTGGCAGCAACATGGAGAGGTGGCAACTGCTCACCCCTTGCTACGGCACTGATTTGGGGTGTTCATAGCTGCAGGGGACCCCTTGGCTGTGGGGCCCCCTGCAGCTGCAGGTTCCGCAGGATAGGGCGGGCCAGCCCTGCTGCCCATGCTTGCTGCAGCCCTGAAGCCACTCACTCTGCCTGCCAGGAGCAGTTATACATGCAGGTAGTTGGAGACACCCTGCCCGTCCACAGGCAGCTCATGTCTCCTGGGCAGCAGCAAGCAGATGGGGTGGGGGGCAATTCCCCCTGTGTTTGCTGCTTCCTCTGCAGCTGGGCGGGGTATCCCTGCACTTGTGCGGGAAGGATGGGGTAGGATCCTCTCACTTTGCCTGGCTCAGGGTGTGAACTCTACAGAAAAAAAAGGACCAGATCCTTCAGAGCTCAGGCAGTGTCTGGCAGGCCAGGAGCTCAACCCCCCACGCTGCTGGCAGCTGGGCTTTTGGCCTGCTGAGCCCTGCCTGAGCTCTGGGGGCCCAATCCTTTCTTTTTCTGGAGCTCATCCCAGGTGCTGCTGTGAGCAGGAGCAGAGCAGGTCCAAATGGCAGTGGGAGGCACCCCCAGGTGGTCCAGGGCTGCCTCTGCCCAATGTCTCTGCGGGGGCGAGGTGCCGTGACTGGCCCTGCTGTGCCCTGGTGTCCCTGCTCATTCTGGGATACTGGAGGATTTCAATTTGGGTAGAATCACTGTAGGAAGTGGTACCATACAGTAATGGAACAGGAAGAAAATTAGGTGGATTGGAGATAATCCTGCCCTAAAGTGGTGTAACTTTAAACCAAATAATGAGTGCTTTAACACACTTAAAAGTGTTAATTTGCAGCCAGTCCATGAGTTAAGAGCTCCAGGAGCTACCTAAAGTCACTATGTAACAAGGTCCTAGGCACCAACTGTCCATTTATTAGGTGCCACTGTAGCAAGGGGAGATTTGGAATAAAAATCTTCAAAATTGAAGTTATGATGTAGGCACTTCTCACTGTTTTACCCATGATTTCTCTTCATCCCACATTATGGGGTCCATCTTGACACTGTTGATTAACCAGCATTAGTGTCCTTAGGTTGATAAATGAGCATGCAATCTAGACCCAAACTTCACCAAAGGCATAGGTGCTGTGAGCAAGATTTTTTTTTATTTCCTTATTCTTCTGGACCAGCAGGAAGGTCTTGGTCTGGATTTCTACAACAAAGCTTTGAGGCAGAGTTTTATTTCAGGCCCATCTTTAGAGCTAGGAGGAGCTTTCTCTGAGAAAGGGGCTGCCTGGCTAGGGCAACTTACAAACATATCAAGCAAACTGAAAACATCTGGTTGCTTTTTATGGTCTCTTTGCCAGATGCTTATTATTTTTATTTAAACAAAGGGCTTTGCTTCTTTCTGGCTCATCTGCTTTTCCTACTTTGCACTGCTGGGAAGTTATAATAATGCAGATTTTTCATTTCAGTCTAACATTGTTTCATGGTACCAAACTATAATGCAGAAAAAACCCACACATATGCATCTACTCATGTCATTGTAGTGCTCAAGCAGAACATTCAAACAGATATCCATCCTGATAGTCAAAGGAAAAGAGGTGTAGAACAGAGCGGTGGGATCTCAGTGCTTCATTCTTGAAGGCTGATAAAAATGTTTTGCTAGCAATTTGTTTGAAGGAAGAAATAGCTGTGTATGGCCATAAAGCCTTGATCTTGAAAGCATGTGTGTAACTCTATTCCTTTCTTTTCCTTTCCTTTCCTTTTTTGTGTCCTTGTGTGACAAGGTATTTAGCAGAATTTGCAGATTCATTGGAATCTAACAAGGCTGCACTGTTAGCGCTTCTGCTATGGCTTTACTGTACTCTTTACTTTACTTACTTCACTTACAAACGCTACTCCAAACAGTACTTCATTGGAGTAAATGGGAATCATGGGTATAAGTGCCTGCAGTCACAACTACAGTTTTGAAATACTTAAGGATCCTTTTATAATTACCAGCCCAGTACATCTCCACTCCTAAATGTTTTGGGAGTACTTGTGTAAATGGATGTCTGGGTGCTGAAAGCCTTATTGATTACAGATGCTCTGAGCAGAGTTTCATGACAGTGTGGTGGATAGGGCCCTAACCATACCAAGCCAGGCAAGGTTCTTTGGGTAGATGTGATATCTTTTATTAGATGAGTGGTCACCAACCAGTGGATCTCCATCCACCAGTAGATCTCAGAGTTTCTTGCAGTAGATCTTGGAGCCTCTTGGAGTTGATCCAAGGCTGGGGTGGGGGACTGAGTGCCCGTGTGCATGCACACGTGTGCCCCAGCCCAGCAGGTCAGTCCATGGGGGAGGAAAAGAGTGGGGGCTAGATTGAGCCCCCGCTGTGAGGGACAGTGTCGCAGAGGCAGGAGTAAGTTGAGTGGGGACTTACCTGCTGAGGAGGTGTGCCCCCATATAATTTTTGATTCCTTTGCCGCAATCTGCCCCAGACCCCACAGACTTACCTGCTGCTGGGGGGGTGGGAGTGGCAATGCACAGTAGGTTTTGGGTTGCTTTTAAATGCCAAAGGTGATCTCCTACTTAAAAAGGTTGGAGACCACTGGATTAGACCAACTGAGTTGATGTCCCCAAATAACCATACCAAGGCACTCACCTGACCTAGCTAACATGGCTTGAGTAGAACTGGTGTTAGCATCCATAGAGAATATTTGAGAAATATCTTTAGTGTGGACAGGGCCCTAGCCTTGTATCTTATCCGCTACCCCCTGCTGCCTCACAGCAAGTCATGGAGAAATGTGTATTCCAAACACAAGTGAGACCAAGAGGCCCTAAATATTGAGGATTATGACAGCTACAACAGCTGGTTGTAAATAAAGCCAGAATAGACAGAGGTGAGCATGTTGCAAATGATTTCTAACTTTGACTCATTTTTTTCCTTCGATTTTCTATAAATAGTCCCTTTTCAAGTAGTAGGAACAACAAAACTGAACTCTTGTGGTGAGCTCTGTCTCAGCTGCCGCAACATCCATACCATGTTGTTTTCATTCCTTTGCCTTTCTAGTTTCTCCCTATTTAATGTAGCAACCTCATATAGTCTGGGAGCTCAGAGCTGTGTCTGCCCCTGAGTCTGCCCTTTGAATTATGAAGCGTTCTCTTATAGTGGAAGGGTGCCTCAATCCAACGTATCTCTCAGTGGGAGGCTGATCCAGAGCTAACAGAATCAAATGGGAAAGAAGTGTGGTGTGAGCAAGGATATTTCCATTCATATAGTTTTTGTGAAACATTTTTACACAGATACTGACTGTCCTTCTATCATATGCCACTGTAGCAATGGGGGATTGGCAACAACCTATAAAACCAAAAGAAAAATAAAAAATGTGGACATTAAACAAATATAATTTTTATATTGGAACAAATAATCAGATAGAAAACAGCAAACTTAGAAAAACACATGTATCTGCTTCCCTCAGCCCCATTTCAGTGTTATGCTTTTCCAGCCATCATTTTAGTGTTATGCTTTTAGATAGTTTTTGGCACTGTGCCCTGTGTAATTTTGAATTACTCAGGCAACAGTCTTTTGCCTTTTTTCTTGGGGATGCTGTTCCACAATTGGAGCCAGCCAACATTTTTCAAATAAGAAGTTTATGCATCAAAAAGGGCAAACAGTTATTTCACTTGAAAAAATTAATGACAATCATTCAAGTAGAAAAAAAAATGTTTTAAATTTATCAGACGTTTATTAAATAAATGTAGTTATGTTTAACAAAAATATAACAAATTTAAGAAAACCCACACAAACAAAAAGGCTCTGAGCTTTTAATGAAATTAGTTTCTTATTTTTTGAGCAGCACTAGCTACATCCATAAAGATCCAATTTTCTTTCAAAACTCATCGAAACAGAAATCCAGTCTTCATATCCAGCTGGAAAACATCTAGTTTACATAGCAAAAAGTGCATTAATAAACAATGACATTTAAAAAAATGTTACTGTAAGGAGACTTCTCATGATACTGAGGCTAAAGTTTCCTTTTATTTATTTCAAACCAACTGTTTATGCCTGCTGTAGTATCTAAAATAGTCTTCTGCCTTGGGATTTACAGCATTTCATGCATTTGTGGACGGGTTGTATTCCCTCAATTAATATCCTATGCCTAACTAGGTCTTATATTTTCTTCTCATGCAATGCAAAAAAGATTTAGTAGTATGGCGTAACGATTTTATTTTCATTTCAGTTTCTTCTTTTGTCCACATGGCTTCTATTTAAAGGAAAAAAATACCCAAAAGTAGAAAATTGTATAAAAATGGCTGCAGACAATGGTTTTGCTGTATTGTTTGAATCCATGACTGCATATTGTATAAAGTGTGTAATACTTTACATTTATTAGTAGCCTATTAAATAAAAAAATACAATACTTCAGTCAGTTTCACAGATAAGTTAGAGCCATGTATAACTCACACTGCTGCTTCCATGCTTCTTCAAAAGTAGACAGAAGTACTTTCCTGCTTATTTTGAAGATAAGTATATGTTTGTGCCTTAGGAGTTAAAGTCAGCCAAAACCCTCTCCCAAAGGTTTATCCTCTCTTGGTTAAGCTTTTCCTTGTTGATGTGCCTAAAAATAACTGGAAGCAAGAACCCATCCTCCAAGGTTACATCCAATTCCACTTTTGGCACTTAAATGAAACATAGGCAGCCATGATAACTGTAGTTTTTAGCAGTCACACAATTAGTGATTCATTTTAGGTTGCACAAACTTACTGAGCTTGCTCAGTAGGGCTGTCCTCTGCTCTGGCACAGGTATGTACATAAGGACAAGTAAGTTTTGAATTTTAGTCATTGGAGAAACACAACTAGCCAGTAAACAGAAGAAGCAGGTGGGCCCTCTCAAGTTTTAGCCCAGTAACCTAATGGTTAGAACACTTGCCCAGGGAGCAGTAGGTCCAGGTTTTGGATTCTCCTTCTCCCCAAAGGCAGCTTAAAGTAGGCTCACCTGCTTCCAGCAAAGTACTCTAACCCCCAGGCAACACTACCCAGAGATCCTTCCAGCCCTTCTCTTGAAGCTGGCCCACGGAGCACCCAAGAAAGACTTGTGCAGCCAAGAAAAAAAGTGAGGGGCCTTCTCCTCTGCTATATTTCTGGTGGGTATGTTCAAGTTCTATTTCACCACAGGGTGGAATAGATTCCCAAAGTGTGTTTATGTGCTGCAGCACCCTGGGTGCCTTGAGATCCTTTCAAGGGTGCCATAGGGTTCCATGCAATGTTAGCACGTTTAGGTGTGCAGACATGATTCACATGATGAACCCAGAGATCTCAAATAGGAATCCATAGCGTTAAAATCATTCTGTCCTGTTGCCACATCTTTCTGAGTTCTTTACAACAGAAGAATTGCTCTACTTTTTTTCTGTATTTTTGATTTGGCCCATAGCTCCCATAAACGTTTGCACACACTTTGCTCAGAGAGGGACGAATAATACTTAACCTTTCCAGAGTGTGTTCATCCCAAAGGATCCCTGTGTGTTTTTTAGACTATTTCAGTCATGAGAAAATGTTCCTTGAAGTACAGCTACCTTCAGGGTAAGAGAGAATACCTTTGCAGTACCACATACCACACAGTCTGGTGTTCTCCGCACTGCAAGGGCACGCTGCCCAAGCATGTGCTGAGCTAGGTTTTGTTTTCCATGGTTCTTTTGGCCCCTGGATATCCAGGGGTCAAAGAAACCCATGGAAAAAGAAAAACAGTGTAGTGCATGCTTGGGCAGCTTGCACTGCTGAAAAGCGGAGCCAGGCAGCCTGGAGTCGCACCATTAAGAACAGCATTATACGTCATCACCACAAGTGAGGTCAGTTCTTCCGTGTGTCTGGTCATGTTAGCTTGGTAAAAGAAAAACTAAATCAGAGATGTCTTAGAGGTCAATTTAGGCTGGAAGTTAGGTCTTTTACCATCAGAGAAGTGACATTACGGACAGCCTGTCAATAGGCTTTTTTTGCCTCTGTAGCTCATAAGTAGTTTTAGATGCAACATGATCAGATTGGGAAGGAGATCAAGTGACATGCTACCTACAGTAGCTAGGAACTGGACTCAGTGACCCAGGAGATTTTCCCTTCCTGCATTATTTTGTGGAAATGGTTAAGCAAAAACATTAGAGCAAACTTGTGTTTGTGACGTGTACCATGGGCTCCTTAATATCTATGGAGAATTTACAAGAGCTCAGGCCCCTGGCAGACTTTGTTTCTAACAGCCGGCAGGTAATGTTCAGATTAAAGCATGATACAAATGAGCTATAAAGATAATCTACACTTATGAAATAACATCTTTGAGGCTGGATCACCACTTTTACAACTTGTTTTTGGGTGATAAATTGCTTGAATGTGTGGCATGTTACAGTTTATTGCTTCATTAATCACACTTTAAATGTAAGTGTGTCTTCCATGGGCCTCAGGTTCCAAAAGCTGTTTAGAAAGTCATCATATATCCAACTGCAGACATCTCAGTTTATCCACTTGAGATTCACCTGCCAATACAGGAGATTGCTTATTAAGATGCATTCTGGCAAATTCTCACAGGGCATTCATTCCTTTGCAGATGTCAGTGAAGCACTGAATGTGACAGTCTCACCAGGACCAACAGTGCAATACTTAGAGGGAGACAATGCTACCCTTTATTGTCATGTTTCTCAAAAGAGGAGGAAAGACAATTTACTGGCTGTCCGATGGGTTTTTGCCCACTCACCTACACAGGAGCATCTGATGATCAAAATGACTAAATTTGGGGTTGTCCAGTACTATGGAAATTATACCTACCATTTCCACAAGAAGAGACTTCGCCTTCTCAAAGAAAGACATGGAACAATGTACAAATTCCTCATTCTGAATCTCCAGCAAACAGATCAAGGACACTATATATGCAAAGTCCAGGAAATTGGCAAACATAAGAATAAATGGACGGCATGGTCAAATGGCACAGCAGCCACTGAAGTAAAAGGTGAGGATACATCTGATGTCACCAATCCCATTCCTAACTTCTCTTGCTCATGATCATTAGTTGTTGATTTTCTTTTCATACAAAATGAATCCAGATGATGTTCAAATTCAATTTTTAAAGTTATTTTTCAAAAATCACATGAAAATAAGTTTGGTTGACTTCTCAAATAATTACAGCATTTCACAGCCTGAATGTTCCAGTCACCACACAGTAAGCAAGATTTGAACATATGTAAAAAGTAGGTTTCTATTCCATTTCTTTGCTTTTCATCCAAAGCTGTGGTAGCCAATAGCACTGCACTAAGTCAGCTAAAGGTCTCAAAGATTTTTTTAGAAGAGAGCTAAGATTGTTACCATTTAAATACAGAGAAATTTAGGCAAAAACCAGTTATGAGAGTGCTGTAGGCAGTGCCTAATCCAGGAATAGAAATCTGCTCCCTTGTGTCCCAGTTTTACCTCTAAAGATTTCTTGAAAATAGAATTTTCTCCCATGTGTATGTATGTGCCTGTCTAGTACAAAGGCTACTGCCCATGCACAGTATGTGCACGTATGTTCGCATGTCCACCCTGCATGGGTAATAAAAGGTAACAAAATTACAAACTGTATAAGTGCCAAAAACGCTACATATGGGCTGGAAAATTGCTGTCTGGACGCATGAAGGGTAACAGAATTATGCCCAGTTCACTGGGGATAGATAAGAAGGAGTGAGCTCAAACTACAAGAAGGGAAGTCGAAGCTAGATATTAGAAAAGCTTACTAATTTTAAGCAACAGGCTACATAGGGAGGTTGTGGGATGGCCATCTGAGACAGGGAGCCATCTCAGGGCTGGGTCTCAATGTCGATCTGCCCACCTGTCTAGGGCAGTCTGCCCTGTCTTTCCTGCCATAATGTGGTGTAATAAACTGGACGTTGAATGCAGGAGGTGGGGCATTTAATGCCCCGATGCCCAGGGTGTTGTACATGGCTCCAACCTTCCCTATACCATGTCCCATGCCTCTCAGATGGCATCATAAGTTGGTAAATGCACCAGCCCAAGGCCAGGCCAAACTCTGCCCATTGTAGGGCCTCTAACATTTGAATCTTAACACTCTACCCTTCACAGGGTCTCTTTCATACCACCCCCTCTCACAGAGCCTCTTTCAATCTGCCCACTCTCACTTGGCCTCACTCATACTGCCCCTCACTGGGCCACACTGAACCCGCCCTACACTGCGACTGTACACGGCCCTTTGTGCTTTCTTACTCGCACTCCAGCCAGCCACCATGCAGCCCATCAGGCTGCCCTCACACAGACCCTACTCTATGCGGCCACTGGCCTTATGCCTCCCACTGGGCTGAACTCAGCCACTGGCCCCTTTCTGGGCCATTCTCTTAAGTTTACATTCTTATGGGGGTTGGCCCATGTGCTGCCCTTCAGGCCACCTCTGCAGCCCTACTCAACACACCCCCTGGTGCAGCCCTTCAGATTGCCCTTGCAACCCTTCTCTACACCCTCATACACCGTCCTTCAGGGTGCCACCGCACACCCTACTCTGTGCAGGCCTCCATACTTCTGCCCCCTCACTAGGGACACTCCCTCTCTCTTCCCTCTCTCTGGGGCCTCCAGGTTCTTACACCCCTTGGGGCTCAGGTGTCTGTAGTTGTGGCTGGCCCCCATGCCTGTCCCTGCTCTAAATTATTCACTGAGTAGTGGAAGCTGGGGTTATAAGCTCCTACCTGCCTCCCACTGGGGAAGCAGCTGGGCTGGCATTTCTGGGGAATGGCCCTGCCATGGGTAGTCCCAGCAGACCATCCTTCCCCAGCAGGGTGTAGTTTTTGGTCATGCCCCAGGACCAGAAGCCTCCTGCCATCTCCAGAGCTCCTGCCTTTACCTCCAAGGGTGTTCTGAGCAGTCGCTCAGCCAAGTGGTGTTCTTCCAGCTGCTAGCAGCAGACTGCTGGCTCAGCCCTGAGGGCCTGAGCTAAAATGGAAGCCGCTTAGCCTTCTCCTCCAATCCTTTCGTCCTCCTGCGGTCACCTGACCACCTCATTAGGGCTGACCTGCACCTGTTGGCTGCCTGCTGCCTGCTCTCAGTCCATTGAAGTGGCAGGCACCAAAGGTGCTGTGCCATACCATCACTGAAAGTTTTAAAGAGTCTTTTAGATAAATACCTGACAGAAATGATTTGGGTACAACTGATTATGCACTGGGACAGGGAAATGGACTGCATGATTTTTCTAGGTACCTTCCAGCCCTATTTCCTATGAATGCCTGGGTGACCTATAGGTTTGGCAATTCTGACAGATCATCCACAGAAAAATGGATTGGAATAGAATTTTGGTTCAGGTTATGGAGATTTTTTTTGAACTATCAATGCTTGATTTACCACTGTGCTACTATATTTTTTAATGAAGAAGTTATGCCAAATACTTAGGAAATCATACAGTAGTATTGCATCAGTGGAGCTCCGCTGACTTCACATTTCCTCCTGATTTATACTGTATCAGCCCCAAAGGTTTTATTTAGCTTATATCTTGTGACACAGGCCTTAAAGCAGGTTTCCCAGTGTGCTAAACTTTATTGATCCAATTAAGAAATGCAAAACTCTAAAGCTCTTGGTTCCTCTTGGACCCAGAGGAGCACTTTCAGCTTCCTCTGTGCAAAATGAGGTTTATTTTCTACGTAAGGGGACTTTTACCATCTTTAATTTTCCCTCAACCTGAAGAAGGGTGTGTGCACCCAAAAGCTTGCAGAGAAAGATATTTTTTTGTGATTTCTTAGTTGGTCTAGTAAAAGGTATCATCTCTGAACCGAGAGTTTTAAGCATGGCACCACAGCATCATTGCCATATGGTGATGTGTAGATGCACCCAGCAGGGAGACAAAAGAAAAAGAAAAAGATGATCTTTACAAATCTGTAAAAAATACATGATCAAAATAAGCAGCAGCTGCATTTCACTCCATAACATTTAGATCTGTCTTGATTGAATCATAGGATTAAAGTAATACAATTAGCTGAAGTTCTTAGCAGCTATGGAAGACACTCCACAGTTGAAGTTTAGTTTGGATCAGTAGCAAAGAGTATTTAACCTAAACCATCTGATAGTCTGTAAAATCTGGCTGGAAAGTTTCAGATTTCATAAGAGTTTTCCCATGCTCCCTCTTTGCATTCAGACAGAAGTATAAGAGAAGACCTTTTTGTAGAGAGAGACTGGTCTAAAATCTGAGATCCCGGCATCATTCGTGCATTGTGGGGAATATTCAGATACAATTTTGAATCTGAACTTTACTCTGGGCTGTGTCTAGGCATCCTAAATCTTAATTCCCCCAGATTATGGAGAATTCAAAACAAGATCTGAATTTCTCTCTAAATTATATCGAGATATCTCAATGTTCTGGTATTTCTGCTTCAGAACCTGGTCAAAACCTGAAAGAAAGCACACATGATGCAAAAGGGGAATGCCAGGGGGAAAGATTGTTGCCTTTCCACAAGCCAGAGAGAAAACTCACACTTGGTTTGGGATAAGGACATGTGTTTTATTTTACCCTTATTTTATATATGCATAAATGGAGGCACCTGGAGGTGAAATTAATTATCTGGGGGTTACCTGGTGAGCCAGTGGTAGAACCAGAAAGAAAACTCAGGTGTCTGACTGCCAGCCCAGGGTCTGTTTATTAGGCTGCACTGCTCTCACAGAAAAGGCCCCAAGAAGTAGGGCTTCAAAGAAAATTCTCACTGCCTCAGTCCTGGATTTGGGATATGTGGAGTGGGAGCAGGTCTTATTTTTTCATAGCAGCCTTGACTATGAAATGGAGCCTGTGTTAATATGCCCTGAATGCAATAAGGTGGTGACTGAGGGGGTGTTCTGATACCAGAATTGTGGGACATAGGCAATGGTAGGTCTAGTCACTAGGACCACTGGGATAGATTACCAGGGTTGAATGTCTGAGACTCTAGAGATATGCAGTCCATCAGGGATTTGAGCAGGAAGTAGGCACCAGGGCTGTGCTTGGCCAGTAGGAAAGTAGGTGAATGTGAATAGCTCTAGGAATCAGAATTCGTGGTGGAGGTGATACCTTTTATTAGACCAAATAGCTATTTGCAAAAAAAAATCTTTATTTGCAAGCTTTTGGGTGCACTGACCCTTCTTCAGGCATTGGAGAATGCAAAGATTGTAAAATGTATCCTAGGTGGACATGAACATTCATATTTCACAGGAGAACTGAAGGTGTTATAAGATCTCCTGGTTGGAATAGTTCATTTTGTACAAATTAGGTTCATATAAAAGTTAGAGCAGTCTTTTTACCTCAAAGTTGTCTGGTGGCAAGTGGATGTAGAATGTGTTTCCTTCTGGTTATGATGTTTTATATTTCACAGGAGAATGGGAAGATACAATGCTCTCCTAGGCAAAGAATTTCTCTTGTGTTGAGGTGTCACAGAGCTCTGTGACAATGCAAATTTAGCTTGTACAAAAGGCAGGAGCAAGGTGTTAGCTTTCAGGTTTCCAGGTGGTAGATTTTGCTTCTTTCTGAAACCTTGCTCCTGCTTTTGTTCAAGCTAGGTAAATTTGCATTTTTGTTCCAGCTAAATTTGCTGCAGCCTTTCCCACACCTGACTGAGCATCTGCTGCCCAGCACATGTCCTGACAGCTTCCCCACACTGCCTGCTGCCTGGAGTGGCATAGCAGGGGCAGGAGGAGGAGGAGTTGCTCGAGACAGGGGTTGTTGAGCAGTACCTGGTTGGCTGCAGCTGCACTGGCAGCAGCCTCATTGGGAAGCTGTGCACTCTAGCCAGGGCTGGGGGTAGGTGTAGGTGAGAGCGTGGCATGGGCTGCCTCGGGCCAGAGCGGGTGGGGCTGGGCCGCATGCTGAACTCTGTGGGTCCAGTCACGGGTGAGATACAAACAGTTAGTGGGTGCCCAACCATAGGCTGGATCCACTCAGTTGGCGGGCCGGATCTGGCTATGTTTTGCCCACTTCTATCCTAGATCAAACTAGTTTGTCCATCAGCTTAGCCTAGA